CTTGGAAACGGAGATGAGCACCGCAACCCTAGAGTCGGATTCGACTGGCTTTCGAGCAAGGGAAACCTTTACCTTTACCTTACCCCCACTTTTATGTTTAGAAGGTGTGATATATGTTTGTATGCATGGAGGTGCTTGTAGTTAAAAAATAAAAAAAAATGTTTCAAAAAAACCCCCCCCACACATTAATTAATGCACAATATTGAATCTGCAATTGCTTGATCCAACAAGGCCAACCTCTTGCAAATGCAATCTATTCTATCTATTCTATCTATTTATTCTATCTAATCTATCTATCTATCTATCTATCTATTCTATCTATTTATTCTATCTATTCTATCTATTCTATCTATCTATCCTATCTATCTAAATTTCTCTCTCCGGGTTCTGTTCTGCGGTTGGTAAAAGGGTCCCGTCAGCTTGCAAAGTGGGGGGGTAGAGGCTAATTGACAGCTCCCGAGTCTCTCCCCACACCTCCTCCCTCCCCACCCATGCCCAGGTGCACGTGACTGCCGGAGGGGCGGGGCCGCGGCGGCTGACTGACAGGCCCCGAGTCACGCGGCTTCGGCGTGGCTGCCTGCGCGGCTGTGTTTACCGCCCGGGCCAGGCAGCTGTTGGCCCCGATCCAGCGCCTGGGCTGGAATGACACCGAGCAGCAGCGAAAGGAGCTGTTGTGTAATGCGGCCGGGCAGGCACCAGCCCCGGCTAATCGAGCGCCGCTCCTCGGAGCCGACGGGGACCTGCTGCTGTCAACAGCGAGAGGCCGAGCTGCAAAAAGCGAGCTGCACCGGTTGCATTGCTGCCTGAGGCTCCTTTGAGTAGTGAAGGGCAGGGCCTATAGCGATGGGGGACCGGGCCGAGGGTCGCAAGGGCGGGAGGGGGGACACATTTTGCATACATGGCGAGCTGCACCGGTTGCATTTCTGCCTGAGGACGCAGGTCTTCTAGCACCGAGAGACGGACAGTTGCAAAGTGGGGAGGGGACATGAATTTTGCATACATGGCCAGCTGCACCGGTTGCATTTCTGCCTGAGGACGCAGGTCTTCTAGCACCGAGAGACGGACAGTTGCAAAGTGCGCGGGGCGGGGGAGGCCACGAATTCTGCATACATGGCCAGCTGCACCGGTTGCATTTCTGCCTGAGGACGCAGGTCTTCTAGCACCGAGAGACGGACAGTTGCAAAGTGCGGGCGGGCGGGGGAGGACACGAATTTTGCATACATGGCCAGCTGCACCGGTTGCATTTCTGCCTGAGGACGCAGGTCTTCTAGCACCGAGAGACGGACAGTGGCAAAGTGGGGAGGGGACATGAATTTTGCATACATGGCCAGCTGCACCGGTTGCATTTCTGCCTGAGGACGCAGGTCTTCTAGCACCGAGAGACGGACAGTTGCAAAGGGCGGGCGGGCGGGGGAGGACACGAATTTTGCATACATGGCCAGCTGCACCGGTTGCATTTCTGCCTGAGGACGCAGGTCTTCTAGCACCGAGAGACGGACAGTTGCAAAGTGCGCGGGGCGGGGGAGGCCACGAATTCTGCATACATGGCCAGCTGCACCGGTTGCATTTCTGCCTGAGGACGCAGGTCTTCTAGCACCGAGAGACGGACAGTTGCAAAGTGGGGGGGGGACATGAATTTTGCATACATGGCCAGCTGCACCGGTTGCATTTCTGCCTGAGGACGCAGGTCTTCTAGCACCAAGAGAGGACGCTTGCAAAGTGCGGGGGGGGGGGACACGAATTTTGCATACATGGCGAGCTGCACCAGTTGCATTTCTGCCTGAGGACGCAGCTCCTATAGCAATGAGAGACGGGGCAGAGTGGTCCCCCAAGAGACGGTTGCAAAGTACGGGGGTGGGGGTAGGGAAACGAATTTTGTATACAGGGCTAGCTGCATCGGTTGCATTTCTGACTGTTGGAGTAGCTATGGGGGACCTCGGCGGGGCGCTACGGAATTGGGGAGGGGCTTAAAGGCGTAGAGAAGCAGGAACGTGGGGACGGGAGGTCTACATGTCCGGAGAGCTGCCCCGGTTGGATTTCTGCCCATCAGGCAAGCGGTGGAAGAACCAGAAGGCCCGCGGAGGGAATGAAAGAGAGGAACCGGGGTACGAGTCGGGAGATAAGAGCTGGAGGATCCATCTTCAGCTAGGGAGGGAGACTGCACCGGTTGAATGCCTGCCCTGTCCCGCCGCTGTGAAATAAAGCGATTTTGCCGAGGCTTTGCCGGCCTTTTGGGCGCCCCTCCCCCTTGGTTTGCAAATTGCTTTTGTTGCAACATTTTGCAATAATGATCATTACACATATTTGGACTTCGCGGAGCTAGGACTCAGGGGCTGTTGAAGGGCCGGCTTCTCATGTTTTATCAAATAAAAGCAGTTCTGCCGGTGGAACTTCTGCCTGCGTGCAAACCCGTGAGGGGCTTCGAGGAAAGTCGGTGGGCCAACGCCCCAGTTCAGCCCCCGGGGATGCAAAACACGGTTTCCCCTCTCCAGGCCTGGAACCGGCCGAGGAAAGAAGCAGAAATTCAACAGGGGTAGCTTCACCTGTTGGCTTCCTGCCTGCCTCTGTGTTCTGAGATGGAAATGACACCCGGCGGTTTGAGCAGAAGTTCGAGGTCCCCAGTGCGGAGCGCTTTGTTCAAAATTTAAGGGAGGGGAGTTAGAGGGCGGGGGTTGCCAACGTTTTTCTTTGGGAAGGCGCCTGTGTCTTTAAAGAGGGTTGCCAATTCCTCCGCGGTCGCTTCTCCCACTGCCGGTTTGCCATCGTGCCACTTTCTGTTAAAGGCACGGGAGCAATCTAGGGGGGGTTAGCCGCCTAGTCAGTTGGTAACCCGAATTCAACAAGTGAAGCTTCCTCGACCCATCTCGCAGCCCCGCAATGGCCCTCCTTGACGTTCGCTGCCTTGTCTAGCCGGGGATCGTGAGCCAGGCGGGAGTTCAACAGGGTAGGCTTTTTCTACTAGCCACAGCGTGCGGGTGGAAGGAAGCTGCACCTGTTGAATTTCCCTTGTGACTCTTCCAGCAGTGGAATCGGCAGCCCTACAGAGAGAGGATGGGGGGCGCTACATAATACGGCCTGGAAGCAATTAGTTGAGCGGTGGGGCAGAGTTTGGAAGGTGGGAAACTGAGGCAAAGC